TCATTACTACCATGCGGAGATGATATGAAAGATAATACACTACAAGAAATTATGTCACCAGTGCAACGTATGGCATCTCTTCGTACCGCTTCTGCATATTGAGCGATTTGATAATCCGCCATCCTATTCATCAGCGACGACGCCTATAAACCAGCTGGCGTAAGAAAAGAAAAGGCTTTGGAACTTCAAAATAGAAAATTATGTAAATAAGTCAAAATACCCTCACTCAGTGGCAAGAGCGTTGGAACGAATTAAAGCTTGGCAGGTGGCCAGCTAAACTTATAGCATATTTGGAGATCTTAAAACAAAGATAAATAGGAAGTCTGGAATGCATATATGACGACTCCAGCTCAGACGACCCGGACCACAAATTGGTAAATAACAAAAAGCTGCCTGGAAAATGTACTCCGAAAGAAAAATGTACGAATGTACCTATGGGCGACTGGTTTTGCAATGCCACCGTGAATAAATGCGTGGTGCCAGCCACCCGTCCGCAAAAAACTATAATTAATTTTATTTCATTTTACCAATTTCAACAACTATTCAATACGGTATACTTGCTGAGATTTCACAAAGAAAATTGTGTTATCGAAAATTTTCCAACAAATATTTGTCTTGACTTGCGCAGATAATGAACGAGAAAGCAACATAAGTACATACCTTTGTATTGTATATGCATACGTAGATAATCATACCCATTAAATTTATTTTCCATAAGAATGAGTTCACAAAAAATCCAGTAAAATTTGTCACGTATTACTCCACCCTCGTGGCTTAATATTTAACCACCTTTCAATTCATACGATACGCATTATTTCTGTCTGTTAAACATAACTTTTTTGGTATCTTCACTTGCGTCGTCAAATAGCTTCGAGTGTGACTCATTAACTAAAGTGCCACTTACGCGCCCACTTAAGTGCATCTAAAGTATCGTAATGCGGGCGTGCAAAGGAGCAACGGAAATGCTGCAAGGAAACCACATTTAATTCAAAGTAAGGGAAAGTAAGGATTAAAATAAACTACGGAAGTGCCATAGCCAATGAAAAATATGTGCCAGTATACAAAAATGTGGCGCAAAAACCGCAAAATTATTTGAATATCTCAAAAAGTGGTGGTTTAATCGATTTCGAGCGTGCTAAGGGAAATGAGTGGCGTTAAAACGTGATTTCGAGGTAGATTAGTTTCAAGTGGAGAACACATGCACTTATTTATATAAGTGCATATAACATTTCCAAGGATTTGAATTGAGGAATAAGTAGGAATGAGGCACTTTGAAATGAAGAACGAGTAAAAAACTACACTAAACATTTGATACATACCAAGGTACATTGAACAGGTAGTATCAGTAGAGCAGCTGATTTGATTTATTTTCAAATTATTTGGTCTCGAAAATGTCAAATATTTTTAATTTTTTCTCACAAAAACTCTGAATTGTTAAAATCCATTTGCATGTGAAACCTTTTTCCATACAAAACAAGCGATTGAATAGCTGCTTTTGGAACGTTCGCCCAACTCGGCAGCACAACCGCTGATTACTGGGCCTTGCAAAGGATGGATCAATGCTTCGAGAAGCAAACAAATTTACTAGGAAAGAAAGTTGCATCAATTTTTATTTTTTCCAATTTAAATTTTTTATTTTTTATAATTTTTTGTATTTCACATGGCACGCTTTGATTTAGAAGAAAAAATTCAGAACAGTTTTTGACACTTTCGATACCAGAAGCAACAACAAAATACACGCAAATGTTGGTTTTGCTCTACTGATACTACCTGTTTAATGTGCCTTGATACGTACTCAATACTTTTTCAGTAAACTATCTTCGACACAATCAATCTGGATGGGCACCAATTTGATTTTCAGTCATGTTTACTACGTATAAACCACTTTTGTATGGCACATACGATAATTTCGCCCACAAGAAAAATACGATAAAATATACAGTAAATTTTTGGTGTAACTATAGGGATTTCAGATACAATATTTTAGCAGGTAAGTCGTCGAATATATTTGCATTAAAAAGGCGATTTCGAAAAAATCGCGCATACTATAATTTCGTGAAAAGGGTTGGATATGTAGTTAAAAATTTGTAACCCATGTACTTCAAAGCCCAATATCTCGAGAAGTATCGATATTAGCGATTTGGGAAATTAAATTTCCTACAAGTTTGTCATTGACAAATTTTCTGTAGCTCTTGTTATTTACGAAATAGGGACAAAAAAGCGAGAATTTCATGAAAAAATTGGGTTTAGTGGCCTGTACTACCTCGCTGGTGGGAGTTAGGGTTACGCCGCCATGGCCATTTTTGTGGAGCATTCAGTTCTGAAGAAACCATATTATTGACCAGGATTATACCATAAAATGGCATAATCTATAGAATTTTTAAGAAAAAAAATCAAAGTTTACGTGTATTTTCAACGGGAAATCTATGCACGCCTGGTCGAACCCTTAATGTTAATATTAAGGGGAACTTTTTTCAGGTATTTCCCACAAAGTTTCGAGGTGGGAGTAAAAAAAAATAGACGCCGAATAAAAGCACTCTAGTATGTATGCATGTAAGTATGTTTGTTTGGGTCGAATCTTACAAGCCATTTTTAGCCATCTTCCCGATGAGCTAGACTTAAAATTTCAAACTTAGCAATGGAATATGAAATATGAATTAATCCGATAGGTGGCGCAGGAGTCGATATGTTTTAAAATCCCACATTTTTAGTCCGATTTGGTGCATATTTGGAATGTATAAACCCACATGGGAGGAAAGAACTACACAATAAATTTTATTGGTAGCTGACGCCGGAGTCGATATATTCTGCGAAAACCTGCATATATGGTCTGATTTAGTTTATATGAAGGGAATAACTTCACAAAAAAAATTTTCGGTAAATGGCGTCTAGTCGAAGTATTTTGAAAACCCATATTTAAGGTCCGATCATATTTAGAAAGCTTGTTTAAAAAACATTTGTTTGCTAATAACTTATTCCAAACAAAATTAAATCGCTTCGAAAGTAGAAGTAAATGTCCTCATACATACGCTGACCACATTGAGCCTAGACTTATTTCTCTATAGGAGATATGGGAGATTGAATGTGATCAAAAAGAAATCGTTTCTTATTCGAAATGGATCTCATCTAAATTATGATCGCCAAAGAATGCGACAGCGTAGACAAAAGTATAGATTTCATTACATTTACACGCTTGTGCAGTCACTTCCAATGCCTAACAGTCAGCGCAACGCAAACCGGTAGTGGGATTCAGAAAATTTCTAGATACGAATCACCGTTTTTCATTTAGAGAATTTTAGAAAGATTTTCAGAACTCCTCTAGTGAATGGTATTCCCCTGCGACTAGTGGCGCTGCTAACGACTCCTTGGAGCACGTTAAATATCTGCAGGAATATTGGTAGATAGTTGATATATAAAAAAATAAATTAATAATGCTCTCGCCGAAGCTCGATCCAACGGGCAACATACGATATGTCCATCTTCCCTCTGTACATGTAATGTTAGCAGTGGGAAAATTATTTTAATCACTTTTAACGATTCTTTAACAAAGTCCACGGCTACTTTTAGCTTTGTATTCTATCAAATTTGATTCAAGAAGCTTTTTTATGATTTTGGACGCTCTGTTCACTAGTTACACTATATGCTTTTTCCTCTCCATTTTTATTTTGTTTTTAATTTATAGGACACCTTTATCAGCTTCTGCTGCACAAAATGTTTTGGACTCGTCGGTTTTAAGCAAAATTTTGCTTAGCCAATGAAGACTGAGACACCTGGACCTAAAGACCTTCATGGTTACCTTTCTACCTGTGGACTTATACGGTAAACTACGTGCAAGCTGTAATGCTATTGGATTAAACGCGCTGATCAAATACGAGTAATACGAGGTTTGAGCGCTCTAGAATTTTCGAAGATCTTCCAGTATAAAGAATAAACAGTCCCGCTTACTGGGCTAAATGATCCCCTAAGGGGTGAATGAGAAGAGGATTCGGTCCAGAGTATTCTGACTCAGCAGCCATCTACACTGATGAGTTGAACCTGAACGTAGGTAGTAGGGTATACTCGCAAAAACTCTCACTTAGCCTTAGTTTTCCTCTGCCAGATCTCTGTAGCGTATTTCAAGCTGAACTAACAGCAATAAACGAAGCTGCACGATGGCTGATCGATTCTCTTATTAGTGTGAAGGCGGCGGACTATCTTTTCTGATAGCTAGGCAGCTATTAAAACACTTAATTGTGACAAATCTATATCGAAGATTATCATGGAATGTAGACGCAGTGTAAATGAGCTGGCAAGATGTTACGTCATTAATGTCATATGGGTGCCAGGCCATAAAGACATACCGGGAAACTGTGTTGCAGATGAACTAGCAAGGAAAGGAACCTTTTTGTCTGCAGCGTAGATCTCGCCCTTTTCTCCCTTTGTAGCGACTACTACTCCCACATTTTATTGGAGTTTCACCGGGCACCACCTGATGGAAACCCACGTTTATAGAATGGGTTTGCAGTCAAACGAATCGATATACCCATGTGCATATATCGAAATCGTTTTTACTTGGGTAACTATATTTCAAATTACCCACATTTTAGTATGACCCTAATAATTCTTGGTCAAAGCTGTATAGACTTGTAACAGTTAGAAATGAAAGATTCTCTTTAACTGCCATCATTCGATATAACGAGCCATACATATCCTTGCACCACTCCAATTAATTATTTCCCAGTTTCGTTTTCATCTAGTATTTACCAGCAGACCAGAGTTCCATAAGTAATGATTGTTGTGATGACGAGGGTAAAAATTATCATCACATTTGAACATATACTTCTCACAGGTATATCGCTACAGCGGACTTTATTCAAGTGACAACAGTTTTACCCCACCAATTCCTCTTGCAATAACCAAATATTTACTCAAAAATATTGAGCACAGATGTTGAATATTCATTTCCATGAATCTGACTTTATACAGTGGCCTTTATATGGAGCCACGCAACCATAACCTACCTTCTCCACCTGGTGTTGCGGGCGTTGTTACATTTCCATTACCCGGCGATGAGAGTGAACGACCCAAGGTGCCACTACCACCGCCACGCCTTGTGCTGCCGCGTGGACGACCACGTTTAGTGCCACGCGGATGATGGCGACGACGTATGCGACCAATATTGCCATAGTCACCAAATAGAGCTGTAAGGATACAAGAAAGCAATGATAAATTAATACGGGAATGAGCAATAAAAGAAATTAATAAAAAAAATGGAGGAAGGCCAAAGCGCACACAAGCTATAAAAAAAATGTTGTGAACACATATGGAAGGACATAGGCAATTTTTAAATTTTAATAACACAAAGGCATATTGTAGATACATACTGTAAGTAATTAAAAGCTGACAGTTGGCGAAAGGATGAGGATGGGGGAGGACTTAAAATGGGCAGTGCAAAACGAGATCATATGCAGAGCATAACAGTAAAAGGTATTCGTAAAGGAAGGCGTGGTGTTATTTTTGATTAAATTGTTCCACGAGTTTCAACGCGAAACAGATTGCAATAAATTACCGGAAAAACACAGCACCACATGGTGTCCTACGATTCGTACACATTTCTACAAATAAGTACACTTTAATGCATACAAATTATCGAACACTAAAAATTTGCTATGACCAATGTGGTAATTAAAAAACAAAAAGCAGCTAATGTAGGCCATAATAGTGGAAAATGCAATGGACCAAATGCAGGCAAATTGAGCGCGTGACCATTTCAAATGGAAAAGGCAGCACGTGAAAATTAAAAAAAAAAAAATAAGAAAGTAATTCGTTGTTGAAAGCAATTAATCTCAATTTTAAGCGACTCAAATGACACGAAAGATCGCATAAAAAAAAACAAGTAAAATAAAAAAGAAAGAAGTGGAAATAAATGAAATTTTTTTATTGAAATTGGCGCATATGGAGTGTTTTCTTGTCAATTTTGGAGAGGAAATAAAGGAAATAAATGGTAGTGTATAGCAAAAATTAAATAGGAAGCAGCTGATGATCACAGCTGTAGTTGCCTCTGAGCTCTGATGTATGTAGTTAGTTCTCTTGCAGAAAATGAAGCCTAGTTTCTCAAATGGCTTATTTCTGGGTAATTCACTACTTTCGCAACTTGTTGAAATAGAAAACAAGAATTTAAAAGTTAACGAAGAAACCCGATTATGGCGATAAAGTACGTAAATTTTTATGAATTTTTGTGTTGTTTGATACCCGTCATTTCTTTTTTTAATTCAATTAAATACAATTTTTTAAACAGATGGCAACCCTCCTCAACAATATTTTCGGAAGTAAGATTTCCTAATCCTATTCATTTTGGTACACATATTGCAATATTTAATTTATCTTATCAACTAAAATAAATTAAAATTTTCAAACATGTGGCAACCTCCACAAAAATATATCCGGCTGTAAGCCTTCTTAAACCTCTTTCTTTTCACAGCCATATAGTAATATTTCCCTTATCTTATCAATTTACTTAAATTGCAATTTTTAAACAGGTGGCAACTCTCTAATTTTTTTTCTTTCTGTATTTTAAGCTATACCTCTAGCAAAACACCTATGAAAACGGCATTCAATTTCATGCATTAGTTTGCGAGACAGACAGACGGACAAAAATTCTAAAAATTGTTGGATTGGCTTCTATTACTCTAATAAAGTCCCCTATATTATTTTTCTTTAATATCTATAATGTACGGACATCGGTCTGTTACAATGCTATTATACGTGTAGATGTCAAAACGAAAAAGCAACGTATTTTTCTTTCACATCCATCCCGTTTTTAAAATTAAAGTAACTGTTAGACAAAATTTTTAGCTTCAAATCTCTCTTTGAGAACTTTATACGGAGACATCACTTGAAATGCAATTACAAAAATTCTTGAATGGCTAGGTCCGTAAACATTAAGACACTATCATCGCACAGCACTTCCTCAAAAAGTGTGGTAGAGTGCAAGACAGTCACGACTGAAGTACATATATGCCGGTACGGAGGTGCCTCTGCACTGGATTCCACGCCGTACTAGCGTTACTGGCAACGATGAGCTCGCCAAAAAAGGAATGGTTTCAGATATATGACCAATAGAAGATCTGTAAATTTCTCTACAAGATATTAGAAATGAGTAGGACTTGTATACGATGTGGCAGGCAGATACGTTATGTACCAAAAGCATAGAACAAAGTTTATTTTATCTCTTCAGCGAGCAGGATTATAGGACAGTTCTGGCTAAGACAGTTGCAAGTCTTTTGTAAAACAATTCAAAGACGTTAGGCAAGATAGTTTAAAAGATTTTGTTTATTCTGGTACGGAATCCTTACAAAAAAAGCTCGCTCGCCAACTTTCATGGTGAAACCCTGAGCATGTTCCAAATGGCGATGTGTATCATTTTGCTCGAGCTGCTCCAACAGGCGCAATGATTTTCTTTTAATTTTTAGATTTCAGTGTTTTAAGAAAAATTATGAGTATTTTTTTAGATCTCATTCAATTTGTATAAACTTATGTTGTCTTCTTTCGTCTTATTTATTTTTTTTATATATTAAAATTTTACTATTTTAAAAAGAACAATATTTTATTAATTTCTATAAATTTTTTTTTTTTTCTTCGTTTAATTTAAATTTATTTTAAATTTTAGAATTTATTGGTATAAAACGAAAAAAAATTTAAAATTGTATTTAATTTTTTTGGAACTTATTTACTTATTGTTTTTTTTTTTATTTAATTTTCTTTTAAATATTAGTTTTCATTGTTTTAAAAAGAAAAAAAAACAATTTTTCTTTTTTTAGTTTATGTATTTTTCTTATTTGATGTAAGTTTCTTTTAATTTTTAAATTATATTGTTTTAAAAATAAAAATATTTTTTAGTATAACTAAATTTTAAAAAGTTATTTTATTTATTTTTTCTCTTTTTTTAATTCAACTATATTTCAATAATTAGCTTTTATTGTTTTATAAAATAAAAATGTATATATGTACATACATACATATTTATAGTTTCATTTTATTTTGGGGAACATATTTTTTTCTTTAGTTTTTTTTTCTTTTTAATCTAATTTTCTACAAAATTTTAGATTTTATTGTTTTAAAACGAAATATTTTTTATTTCACTTAATTTTATACCTCTGGAATTAAGCTTTTCTTTTTCAATTCAACTTTTTTTCTTTAACTTTCTTTTAGGTGTTAGTTTTTATGGGTTTATATAGAAAAATATTTTTTTTTTGTCATTTAATTTTGAGGAACGCATTTATTTTTTCTGTTTATAATAATTTGTTTTCTTTTACAATTAAATTTTTTTCTTTTACAATTAAAATTTTTTCTTTTAGATTTT